TTTTTTTTAAAACTAATCACTGACAATAAGAAGAGTTTAAAATAGAATTTTAGGCTTCCAGATTTTAATGGTCCTAGCAAAACTCCATTGTTAACTCAGAAGCAGCTGCATATGTCTAAAAAAATCACTTTGAGATTTGGCAGGGTTTCTTAAGAAACTTGAGGCTCAGCAAAAAGTTAAATAAATTATCCTTGAAAATTTACCAAATGCTCAGGAACTCACTTCAAAGGGAATTTTGTCCATTCAGTTAATTGTGTAACACCAGCTTTCCAATAGCACATTTATGAAATTTACATCTTAAATAATCTATGAATGCACAAAGCTGGAGCTACCTGTCACCAGTCACCAGACAGCTCAGTCAGAGGCCTGATTGCCTCTCCTCTTCTTTCAAGTGAATGCCTGGAACAGCGTGGTATTCGGCCCCTGATAGCATCCTGGACCCAGGAGTTCTGAACCTGAGCTTCACATTAGAATCCCCAGGGAACTTGAATGAAAAAGAACCACCCCTGGCTCCCACCCCAAAATGAATCAAGAGTCTTAAAGGGTGGAGTATGGCATCAAGAAGTGTCCAAGCTCCCCAGGTGATCATAACGTACAGCCAGTGTTGGGCATCGCAGATGCAGGCAGTGACATTTAGCAGATCAGAGAGAAAAGATAATGTGAGCGCATCTCCAAGTACTTGATTTGACATCTGTTCTCTGACAGCAAACACCGCCAAACTAGAAATGGACTTCAAGAGCCAGAAAGCTGTGCTGCCCCATCTCGAAAGTGACCTAGTTAACAGATGTGTTTTCCATCAATACTTCAGAACCTGATAGTTTCTGAACAGAAAAGTACAGGGCAATGGTCCTAAGGGGGAGGCCCCACCCTGAGGCTGGTTACAGGTCTAGCAGAACCTTCAAAAATATTCTGTTTAGGAAAGTCAAATACTGCATGTTCTCACTGATAAGCAGAAGCTAAATAATGTGTAAACACGGACATAGGGTGTAGATGGAATAATAGGCGCTGGAGACACAGAAGGGTGGGAGGGTGGAAGAGGGCTGAGGGATGAGAAATTACTTACTGGGTACAATGTACACTATTTGAGTGATGGTTACACCAAAAGCCCAGACTTCACCGCTATGTAATATATCCATGTCACAGAACGGTATTTGTACCCCCTAAATTTATACCCCCAAAATTCTGTTGAGGTCAAGTTTTACTGGTGTCTGGTGAAAACAGCAACAGCACATACTACAACTATGACATCTCCTACCAGTCACAGAACATTCAATTGTCACAACAGCCCCATGGGGAGATATATCTTTATCCCCTTCTTGCAGACAAGGAAAGTGGGGCCCAGAGAGGTTGAGTAATTTGCCTAACACTAAAGTCCAAATTCCAAGTCACAAAACTCCATTACAGCCACATCCGGAGAAGGGGCATGAAGACGCCCTCCAGCCCAAGCCTTTGCCTCCCGTGAGCTCACAGACATCTGCTGTTATAAGTGACTTCCTACACCCACCTCTGCTCATCTAGGCTGAGCCTCAGCTATCAGGAAGTGTTTCTTCTCACACTGTCACTTCAGTCCTCAAGGTCTTGGAGGAAACTGATCAACTCACATCCAGGACCCAGCTGAAAAGGGCTATCAGTTGAATTAGCATCCTCAGTCATTATGGACAAAGTCAGGAGCCCAGGCCCTGCACCATCCTCCTCCCAAGAGGTAACAGAGGAGCAGGGTTGGAGTGGAAGGCATGTGGGGTGATCTCACACCCCCAGGGAGGATGCAAACACCATAACACTGGCAACACCCACACTTCTACTGCCTGCTAATCAGATGCACAGAGACAGCCCCAGACCTGGCATGTGCATGTGGTGAATCCAGGGCTCTTTATTTGGTGAGGAGGACCATGTGGGCCTCACTGAAACCCTCTCCTCGCGTGGTTTTCTGGCTGTGTCAGGAAGAAAATGGCTGGCAGCCACAGGAGGCCCCAGGGAAACCTCAACAGTGCTGTCTTCTCTAGAGGGTCTGAGCCACTGAGGTCTGTGATCAGAGAGGTTCTCTCCTCAGAGGAGGAGACTTGGGGCTCTCAAGTCAGTTAAATCCCATTATGGCCTCCACAGCCTAAGCTTTCTGTCTTTTTTTAAAACCCCCATCATCAAGGCTCTGGAAATCTGACGCCTTGGGAAGCACTGTGAGCCTCACTCCACAGGAAACCCCAGCACCTGGCAAAATGAGCTCCATAAAGAACAAGGGTGCATCACAGAAACATTTGCTATTCTGGATCAAACGTTAAGCTAGTTAATCATTTTGAGTCACACATCATGGTGCATAGCAGAAATAATACTGCTGATGCTCCAAAGACACAGTGCGGCTTTCTGGGCTTGGGAGCCCCAGTGAGAGTGAATTCTGAAGATCTACAAGGCTTTTAAGCGGGTTTTGTTTCTTTCCTAGATTATTTTACTGAGCAATGCATTTAACGGCCCCTGAATATTTGTCACTTTGCACACCTTGTTCGCTCCACTTCCCCAGCTTGAAAAAGCCCCCATCCCCACCCTCTGCCGCCCAGGGCTGCTCCTCCCATGGAGCCCTCCTCACCTCGCCCCAGCCCGTCCACTCCCACCAGCCAGAATCACTGCGCCCTCCCGGGCTCACACAGCACAGTGCTGGGCCTTAACAATGGGATCAGCTTCTCACACTAAGCCACCCCTTCTCCATCTTCCCCTCCTGGCAAGTTCTCTGAAAGGCAGAGTCATTGATTTCTGTCATCGTCAGGTTCTTTACAGTGGCAGGTCATAGGAAATGCTGGGCTGAGATAAAATGGCTAACCCTCAAGATATCACCTTAAATCCAATGAAAACCCTTAATCCTCAGATCATAGGCCCAATAAACAACTCTACCATGACTGATGTTAGCAACACTAGAACACGAATCCTTGTCTATTTCTAGAGGAGGAGAAATAAACAGAGGAAAGGCCACTGGCCTGTAAGAAGGCCTCACTCAGCTCCCTGGGGTACACAGCTAAGCTAGCAAAGACAGATACTCTGCCGAGAAAAAAGGGGCCATACCTCCTCTCGTTTACAAATACCATGTTGGGTTGAGGAGAGGTGAGGCAGGTCAGCATCCGAGTTACAGTTTGCAGGTGAAGGGGAAAGAGCTGTGCAGGCATCTCTGAGCTGCACCTCCGTGGCCTGTTGCCAGCAATACTGCAGGTACAGAAGCTCCACGGAGGCCACGGGGTTCAGGAGAGCTCCACTGCCAAGGGGAGAGCTGTGCAGAGGACAGGCAGGCACTCTTACATCTAATCACTTCACAGGCACATCGCTGAGTCTGAGACTCAAATGAATGTCTATTTATAAACTCTGAACTTGCGTTCAGCAAACAGTGAGCTCTAGAAACCCTCCCTCAGTCTTCTGATCCTCAGGTGCTGAAGCCCTGGCCCCTTCCTGAGCCTGGCAAGATGCAGGGAGGGAGGGAAGAGAGGCCTGACCCTGCCCACTCCCAGTCAGCGCACAGGTTCGCACCAGCCGGGGCATCTGAGATCACGGAATACACTCCCTCCCCATGAAGGCACAGAACCCAGGCTTGAAGAAAGGTAAGGGCCCTCTCAGACAAGAAGCCCCTCCGTCAGGGGTCTCTCAGCCCCTACTTCCACACTCCACAACCTCCAGAAGAGGCACAATTGCACCTCACCCACCCTTCCTATGGCAGCTCACCCCGACCTTCATACCCTCTGCGCTCCGGCCGAAGGGACCACTGCTCTCCCCTGAAATCCGGCCTTTGCCCACCTCCATGCCTCCCTCACGCTAGTCCCCTGGGTCAGGGAGCTTCTTCTCACACTGAACGGTCACACCTGCGATCCATCCATCCTTCAGGGCCCAGGCCAAATACGTCCCCCAGCCCCGTCCTCGATCCCTCCTCGGCTCCCGCAGCACGCGCCTGCCCTCTATGTGTGCCCTGCAGTTCCGCTCCCCAGGGCTGCATTTAGTGTGAGCAGCCCTGTCTCTCCCTAGGAGGCAGCACTCCACATCCTCTCCAGCTCCGGGTTTCCCCTGTACCCAGCAACAGGCCTTGCTGACAGCAAAACATGCAAGGCACCCTGCTCAAGCAGGGACTTGCTCGGCCGTCTTCTACAATGTAGGGCCGGCCTCGGGTCCCCAGGCCTCTCAATGGACATGTGCCTTTGAAGTATGTTCTCAGTCCTTCCTATCCAACTCTTCCAGATCTGTGGCAAGTCACAGACATCTCAGTCAAATGCATTGCTGGATTCCAGTTTCCACTCTGACCCAAGGCACAGAGGTCCCCAGAAAGAATAAGAGCACATCTGTGGGAAAAGTATGCAGTGAAAGAGACACTGTGGTTGACAATGGCAATTAATTTCAGTGACTGACTGAGTTCTCAGGCCTTGCCTCCTGCAGAAAGTGCTCTAGGGTGCTTAGTGTCACAGTGTGGGGTGTCAGTGGTTGGGCTGCAAAGCAGCTGTCACTGACTCACATGCCCCTTAACACCTGCCTAGAACGGTGAGCTGGTTTCCTCCTAGTCCCTGATGGGCTAAGCATATGGCTTCATATGAATAGCACATGTAGGAGCCATGTCAGGTGGCCTAAGAGTAGGAGTCAAGAGGAACCCTGCACTTCAAATTCTTGTCCAATAACACTGTTCACTTTGAGGTGAGGGAAACCACAGCTTCCTCTCCTGTGGTGCAAGAATACACGTCTCATCACCCCTGTGCCCACTCAGAAATGCGCTTACTGAATTTCCCAGGCCAACGGTGGGTCCGTCGGATCCTCCTTGGCCCACCTTACCAAATACAACTCTAACCCCCAAACCTCAGGCAGAAATCCAGAGTCAGCGCCAATGCGCCTGCTCTCTCCGTGATGTGTGCAGGCAGAAGGGACCAGATGGCTGAAAGGAGGCCGTCCCACTCGCAGCCTGGGTCAGAGTCAAGGAAGGCCTGCTGCCAGGCGTCTGAACCGCACACTGGGTCTGTCTAGCCAGGGGCAGGAAAGGCGCTACATACTATTTCGTTTGCCTTCCTCTCCTCCTTCTTCCTCGTTCTCGGGATCGATGTCCTCAGCTTGGGTGATCCAATCCAAGTAGCCCTTTAGATCCTCCTCCAGCTGCTGCTTCTCCCGGAGCTTCTGGAAATCTCCCCGTGCTTTTGCCTTCTCTCTTTCCTTTGAGAATTCTCTGAAGGAGGCAAAGAGGACAAGCACATATCAGGACATCCTTGGGGACCTGCATCCTGAGCCACTGCCCTGCTGCACAACAGTCTTGTGGCAGGACACACAGCACTGAGTACAGTCACACGAGCACAGCTATGGAGCCACACACTTGGACAGGACAGAAGACAGTGTCTTCTCAAGCAAGACCGTGGGGGTCAGCGTCGCAGAGCCCACACCAACACACATGCATCATTTCTTAGAAAATGAACTCCCCTCAGATGACAGCGATCCCAAGGGGCCTGGGCCCAAAACACCATGTGCTGTCATAGTGGGCCTCTGACACCCCCCAACGAGGGGCCTGAACTCAGAGATGCCCCACCTTCCCCAGAGCCTCCTCAAAGAGGAGGGAGCCAAGTAGGCCAAGCTGTGGTCAAAGAGTACCACGTTTAGGGCTTCTTCAATGCTTTTGGATAAACTTTGCATTAATATTGTGTGCTACCCCTTTTGTCCAAACCAAGAGCTCTGAGCGGGCAGCAGTCCTTGCTGGTGCCCACACTAGGCTCCTCTACCCATCACCTGCAGGTTTGGGCCAGAGCAGTGGATGGAGTCAGGGCAGTCCCCAACCCCCGCCCCACAACCCAGTTCTCCCTTCCCAGATGGGAACTTGAGCACTGATGAAGCATTACTGTTTTTCTTCACCCTTGCTACTTGTCATAGTCTTCCCCAAAAGTCTTCCCTGCAGGAGGGGAAGAGGCATATGATTTGCTGCCCATTTATAGGAACACCTGCCCTGGAAAGGCTCTGGCAGACAGGTAAATGTTCCCAACTGTGGGGTGTTTACGCTACTTTCCACCATGTGTGCAAGCCTCTATCTATGCATATATACAAAACCCCACACTCACTCAGGCAAGCCTGAGAGTCAGGCAGACGATTACCCAATTTTTATATGCGAGGAACCATCTGCATCTCCAACCGTGAGTTGTTACAGGAGCCAAGATATGTGAGTTAGAGATTTAGTAAGTACACTTAAAAGCTGCTAAGGAAGCAGGTGAGGTTACAGCAATGCAGTTTCTGCACACAGACCTTGAGATTCCGACACAGGTTACTTCTGTCTGCCTTCTTGCCTTCGTTCCGAGTCAAAGCCAGCGTGTCTTGTTCAGGGTCCTACCTCAATAACCCAACCCAACCTAACCCAACCAATGAACGGGGAAGTGACCTGCTTTCATAAAGCTAACTCCAGCCAGGCGCGGTGGCTCACGCCTGTAATCCCAGCACTTTGGGAAGCCAAGGTGGGCAGATCATGAGGTCATGAGTTCAAGACCAACCTGGCCAACATGGCAAAACCCTGTCTCTATTAAAATATAAAAATTAGCTGGGCATGGTGGTACATGCCTGTAATCCCAGCTACTTGGGAGGCAGAGGCAGAAGAATTGCTTGAACCTGGGAGGCAGAGGTTGCAGTGAGCCAAGTTCGTGCCACTGCATTCCAGCCTGGGCAACAGAGCGAGACTCTATCTCCAAACAACAACAACAACAACAAACTAACCCCATATTCACACCTCTCCCTTAACTCTAGGCTGTCGAGGGGCTGAACAGATGCTTGCACACCCAGTGACGTTAATACTTCAGATAAGAAACTGGAATCCTCACCAAGTGCCACCCTCTGCCCACAATTAGAAAGAATCCCACTCAGGTGGAGGTTGTGGTGAGCTGAGATTGCGCCACTGTACTCCAGCCTGGGCGAGAGAGACAGAGAGAGACAGAGAGAGAGAGAGAGAAAGAAAGAAAAAAATAGGATCCCTCTCATTGATCCTAGATCACCCCACTTTTCAGACTCCCTGGAACCTATCCTTGGTCCTGTTAGGGCTGTCTGTCTCCACTCTACCCCTGTGAGTAAGGAAGGAGGCCAGGCTTTGTGGATCTAGAGGTGCGCAGGAGCCGATCTGAGCCCAGACATGTGCTCTGACCTCCCAGCCCAAAGAACACCTGTTGTCTCAAAGAAGTAAGGACTCAGTGTCTCGCTGTTCACACATACCACAGCCTGAGAACTGTCTGGGGTTTCTAGGCCTCCAGGGATTCCCAACACATGGGAAATGCGTAACTCAGCTCTAGGTAAATTCACCAAATGACTCTCTGAACTCTGAAAAAGTCACACTCAATCCAGAATCACATCCCTGAGCATCAATAAGAGGGCTTGGAATGTCACGTGTCTTCAGGAAAATGAATTATATAAACTGTTTTCTTAAATACACCTCAAAGAAAAGTGGACCTTTGGTTTTATTATTCACCAAAAAAGTATCCTAGTACAAATCTGTTTGCATGTTTTGATTCTGAACTTAGCATACTAAATTCAGATGGTTACATACAAACAAGGTATTCTTACTTTGGGTCCATATCATATATGGGTTCTTGGGAAAAAATTATGAAGATAGTAAAAGAGTTACCCTGAGAAGCTTAAGGACATTCATCTTATAATGCATATAATTACATACATTATATACATTTTATAATGTATAATTATATAATTATATACATTTTATAATGTATATAATTATACATTATAAAATGAATGTTCTTAAGCTTCTCAGGGTAACTCTTTTACTATCTTCGTAATTTTCTTTTGTAATATTTTATGCATTTTTAACATTACAAATATAAAAATCCCATATCTAACAAGTTGCATCATTGTGGCACATTTTCAGCTGCTGGGACACGGTTAAGCAGGCATAAGTAAAACTCTACTCTGACTAAAATTCCTAAGAGTAAAAAACCCTGCCAAGTCCTGGTTTATGGCCCACTCACAATGATGGTCACCGTCACAAGAGCTCATATAACAAAGCTGCTGATATAGACCCTCTGAACTGATTTCAGACAGTTCTGAATGGCTGAATACTTAGCAGGAAGGTAATAATTATTGATGTGGACAGAGGTGAGGTTTATGCAGCAGAAATCTGTTGGCCACAGGGCAGTTTGGAGGAAGGGGGCAGGGAGGTGGAGTTCCTGTGATAAACACAGATAAAGCCTTGGCCCTCCTACACCACTCCAGGCTCTTCGTCTGAAGATTTGGCTTCTAGTCCTAGCTCTGTCACTGTTGTGTTCTGAGCTTCAGTTTCCTCACTTCCAAACAGACACAACAATACCCGTTCTGCTGTTTCACAGGAATTAAGCAAGACATTCAGTAAGATGAGGCTTTGAAAACACAAAGAGCGGTATCAACGTGAAGTTCAAATGTATAATAGTTGTTGAATCCAGACATAAGAGAGAAATTTAAAAGGCAAATGGAAGAGCTTTCTCAAAAATCAAAGGGAGAAAAATTAGCACTAGCTGTGAATGGGCTCTAAGCTGCCACAAACCCGTCAGGATTGGGAAACACACAGAAGGACACACGGGTCCCAAGGCTCAGAGTGACCACGATGAGCCAGCAAACCCACTGCCAATCCTGTACACTATCTGCTCAGCTGAGAATAACCCACTCCCATCACAACCGACCCCCTGATCCTGAAAATCACACCTCAAGTCCGAGGCACCTTCTATGAAACTTCGCAATGATCGAAAAAAGTCACTCCACTTTGCAAAAGAATTCTTCATATTCTAAGAACCCTATCACTAACAGATTGTTTTACAAAGCTTATTTAATAAAGCTATTGGTAGAAACCAACAGACTTTTGCAAGTAACTAAAAATCCGACAACTGTTATATGCTAGGAGCCTTCTTGTTCCAAATCAGAATTTTGGTTATGGCGTGTCTGATCAAAAGATAAATAAGAAGCGCCTGGACCGAAAAAAATATATATATATACACACACACATATATATATACACATACACATATATATATATATATGGTGTGCTACCCTTTGCATACAAAAAACTGGGAAATCAAATATGCATATTTCTCTTGGATGTATCTAAAAGAGCAGAAAACAAGGGATGGGAATGAATTAGGCCAAAGGAATCAAAGTTGGAGTGACACTCTTAAGTATATCTCTTTCTATAGTTTTGACTTTGGGAACCATGTTAATGTTCTTCACCTTAAATTTGTTTAAATTAAGTCAATAAGGACGAGATGAAGGGAAAATACCCCTAAACTGAAAGTGAATTGAAATAAACAAATCCATAATTCAATGAATACCATAACCAGACTGAAGGAGAAAGACAAAACTAATTCAAATAGCTCAGGAATATTTGATGATATGCTCCCAGTCTTCGGCAGGATTGGAGTGAGGGATGAACTGCAAACAAACGCTGAACTCCTTTTAGTAGCTTTGTTTTTTGTAGTGATGTGGATGAGACCATTCTGAAACTATCTTAGACATATTACAGGATTTAGCGAGTGAGTACATGCGCTAATGTTGCTGGGAGCCAGAGTGCTCGCTGTGGAAGGAGGGACACAGAAACATGGAACAGAGAAGAACCCTCTGGGGACAGACTGAAATTGAAGGTATAGGTGTGAACTGATGATTTCTAAAAGTTGTTTATTTTAAAGTCTGATTTCCAATGTCTGATTTTTAAAAGAGGTTGATATGTGAGTATATGTATCAATGTAAGTATGTGTACGAATATGTGTAAACAAATGCATATACTTTCTAGTTCTCTCTGTTGAAAGGATTTAGAAGCAAAGATGCTCTGGCAGGTACAAGCACACCTGGTACCCACATCTTGGTCTTTAATAACATTCCCTATTAAAAGGAACCAGGGGACTTTGGAGAAGTGGGTGATTCCAGAGCAAGGGTAGGGTAGGTACAAGATGAAGAAAATCAGGAAGTGCTCAAAAACAAAAACAAACCAAAACACATTATGGAGATATATCATAAGGATACAGGAGCTAGAGAAGTAGCTCCTACTAGCCAAATCTTAGGAAATCTGAGCACTGAAATAACTAAGGACAGTAATAAATTATAACATATTTTTAAAAATTAGTCCAATCCCTTATGGATAGACAACAAATGAAAAAGTAAATGAGGTAAAATTTAATATTAGGTAAACTGGAGAAAGGGGTACATGGATTATTCACTGTGCTATTTCTA